TTCCTGCTCACGTACTGTGCGCCGCGGTGGACGACCACGATCGATAGATACAGGCTGGAATTGCCCGTAATCTCGCAATCGCTGTGTAGCGCCTAGCATCGTAGCGTAGCTCGGTGCACGTGAGTTGGGAAATCGCCTTGAATATTCACGGCAGGGTTCACTAACATTATCATTGCAAATTGCTAAAATTCGCACGATTTCGGTATACTCAACATTTGAGTATCGGTAAGCCATCGTAACAAGGTAACACAAACTAACTAGATACACACGTCAAGGTAACGTTCACAATAATTTCACAACGAAAAGACAAGCGTCGCGGGCGCATCAAAGGCGACTGACGACACAGGTTATCTATTTTCTGGATGTTAGCGCTGTTAGTCTATAAGACTCTTACAGCTTCATCTGACTCAGGGCGGCCTCCAAGGCCGCGAGCTAATTAAAAAGGGAAAGACAATGAGGTGAGGATGATGATGAGTGGTTTATGATTTGTTATTGTTACCAATCATAATGTTGCCCTTTTAGGCTTTTCTTGAGCTATCTAACCGCAGTCTGAGGGGGGGAGTGCGGACCCCCATCTCTGACTGCTCAGCTCGTGTCGGTCGATGGTCTGGGCGGTGAGAACCGCCCAGGAATGCGGGTGTACGGTGTGTACGCGGTGTGAGCTGGAACGCGTCGTGCCCGTCTGCGGGTGCGACGCGCCCCATTCGTTATCCTAGTAGTGTTTGTCCCATTTAGTGTGGGTGTATTGTCATTGTGTGATGTGCCTGCAACGTTTGGGTCGACTGGATCGAGCGGTTGAGGTGGTTCTATTAACACATTACGCGGTCTACGGAGATAGGTCGCGACGTTTGTTATCGGAACGTAGTTAGCTGCGTTTGTCACTAGCGGTTTAGGGTGGGTTTCTACTTTATCAAAATAGCGTTGGGACATCTCCTTAAAGTATTCAGAGATAGATGGTAATTCACAATCATTGTGCAAATCAGAGTTCCGTTAGTACCACCGTGCACCGGTGGCTTTTCGGATGAAAAAGTTTTGTACTCTTTGAAGTTTTACAATGTGGGTCTTATATGTGTGGGCGAAAGCTACACTTGCATAGGACATAATTGGTCTAATACAGGTTTTGTACAGTCGGAGTTTGTGTTTTAGCGACAGCTTACTCTTGCTGTTAATGAGAGGGTGTAGACGGCTAATTACTGACTTGGCTCTGTTGCGTGCGGCACTTATGTGCGTCGCGAAACTCATGCGGGAGTCGAACGTGACGACTAGATATTTGGCCGATTTTTCCCAGGGGATTGGGCGGTCGTACAGCGAAATCGTTTTTGGTTTAGAACCTGCTGTTGAATTCCGCTGAAAGTATACTGCTATATAACCTTTTTTTTTTTTTTTTTTTGCCGTTGGTCGTAACTTTTATTTATGCTATACTTTTTTCGGGATTCACATCAATTCTCCATTGGCGGAACCATTCGCCTAGGCGATTAGTGGCTTTTTGGAACTTTAATGAGAGGCTATTTTTGTTATAATCTGAGACATAGAGTGCCGTATCGTCAGCGAAGAGTGCGGTGTTGACCACGGGGTCTTTAGGGATATCACTCGTGAAGAGTGTGAAGAGGAGTGGAGATAGGACGGAGCCCTGTTCCCTCCACTCGATATCGAAAAGAAGACGACACAGGTACTAATTAGGTCAAGTTTAAATGAGTATCGTCGCCTCCTACACCCCTCCACTCCTCCCTCGCCACGCGCTTTTTATTGCTAACTAGGACTATTACCGTTTGAAGCTCCAATTAAAATATCTTTATTTTTGTATGAAAATAAAAATTGAAGAAATACATTTTTTTTCTTACAGATGTTGTTGTTATGGTGTAAATAATATATTCCCCAGAGGTCTTCAGTAAATTAAAAATGACCCTGACCCTGTATATAACCACTTATATATATGGACGTATGTATGCGAATATGTTCATTTAATAGCTGCAGCTGTTTGTTTATAATTTAAGGAAGTTAAAAAATTTGTAATCAATTTCTTACAATCAAGATAATAAAATTGACTTTATATTTTATTTTGTTCTATTTATTAATACCCACCCAGTATTACTAATCACAAATAATCACAATACCTTATTAGTTATTGTAATTGGGTAAAAAATATCTATTTAGTTACTAATACCTACCCAGTAAGTAAATATTAAAATAATAAATGTAGCATTATAAACAGTAAATCTCCCTCACACTCAATTTACTAATATTGTTCCTAAATAAGGAATAACAGATAAAAGATTAGTAATAACTATTGCTCCTCAAAATTATATTTGATCTCAAGGTAAAACATATCCTAAAATTCTGTAGCTAAATAAAATAATAATACCTATTATTCAAGTATTATTTCAATATGTAAGTAAATGAAAATAACAAAAATGAAGCACCATTAGCATGTAAAGTTCGAATCCATAATTAACATTTCGACAAATATAATAATTTACACTATAAAAAGCTAATTCAATATTAGCAGTATAGTATATAGTTAAAAATGATCAAAATAGTCATTTTTATTAATTAGATAATATATGAGAATACATAATTCTAATATAATGCAACTAATATACCGAATAAAGAAAATTAAAATACATTTATCATTGTCTGCCGTGTCTATTTCCATAAAATAGTTCATTGACATTGAAAAAATAATACTACGTTCGTACCAGTAGGTGGCGTCTTGCAGAATTCTTACGCGATATAATATTGTAGCGAGAATCGGCGGACCGAACGCTTAAGGTCGTTCGCTAGGGGTATAGTCTTAACGCTCTATACTAAATTGCTATGTAAACAATCGTAGTTATATTTCATTATAGAACATTTTGCCACAGGTTAGAAAGGGAGCGATCGTTTTCTCGAAAGCCCGGTAAAAAGCCCACGCGTGTGAGAGAGATGACTAATCGCTTAACCCTTTGCTTTCATTAATTTTGTCAGTCCATTGCGTGTTCGCTTTGAGATAGACAGAACACGAATCAGTGTATTTCGAATTGAAAGCAATTTTCCAAGAGTTGGTAATAAGGCTATGAGGTTATGACATGTGTAGAACAGAGGAGAACAGGAAATTTGAAATAGTTTGAAACAGTTGACGAGTTATTTTATTCGTTGATATTATTTATTGATTAGTTTTATGAGGCAATTCCGACTTATCGGCTTCTGTGGAGGCTTCGCCACTGATTAATATCATAAGTTTATGTACCAAGCCGGAGGTGTAGACGACAAAATTCCATTCATAGTCGTAAATGATGCTTTGTAACATTCTATTGTAGCCAATTGCAGTTGTACTATCTCAAGAGTCAAGACCTAATCCATTTTTTTAAACATTTAGTCAAGCCGAATTGAATAATTCAGCTATTGAGAAAATGGCATATTATGCAATAGTAGAATCATTGAAGAAATCTCGTCACTTACCTAGTTAGTAAGCCTTTCAAACGAATAACTGATCATGAAGCATTGATCCTTCTTTTTTGTTTAATATCAAGATTTCAAGTAAAATAAAAAATGAGAAAATACAAAGATAGTGGCGTCCAGAATTTTTTCTATTCAAATGTGATAATCATATTTATGCCAGAACTAGAAAATAATGCGACAAACATCTTTTATCGAACGAGTGCCTCGATTGAATCATGTTTGATAAAATCACTATTGTTATACATGAAGATTTCACGATTCCCATTTGCGTTTTACTGTTCAGATATCAGTGCCAAGGTGTCATTACTCGTTAAAATAATCTTTTCATGTTTTTTGGTTTTCCTGGTTTTTTATAAAATGCCTGATTCTACAACTTCCTCTATGGAAACACCCGGGCATCTAATTTTAAGATGGCTGATTAAGGCTTCAGTATTTTGGATGTCATTCTCTTGAGCAACAATTTGATCAGCAGTTCTTTTTAATACTCCCCCCACACCATCTGGAGCTCCCTTTCCATGCCTTTTTCGGAGTAATTTCAAACCACGCGACGTAAATTTGGATAGTTCCAATGAAGTTTGGCCATCACGTAAAACATTTTACGGTTACGGTACTGTGCAGATGAGGAATCAGATATAAAATTTAAAAACTTCACTTCGGAAACCTCCTTCTCAATGAAGTTCAGGATAGTAATCAAGTGCTCCCAAATTGCCACAGCGTCGTGTCGTAAGCACTGGCTCAGGGTGCAAAATGATTTGGTACTAATCTCTTCATTATTTACATAATCACTAGTTGTCTTGAACTCCCAAAATGAAAAGACTGTATCTCAGAAGCGTATTTCGAATTGTAATTTTCGCTGAAATCACAATGTACTGTGAATTCTCCTGATTTCAGATTTGACTTCAAATTCTTGATGTATTTATTCTGAGCAACAATATTTGCGCAATGGCACATATATGGCTCTAATAATTTTTCAAAATGCTCTATTATATTTTTAGGATATGCTAATACTTTTTGCTTCAATGATTGCATGGTAACCTTTTCTTGTCCATTCTTGATATATTTCTTTTTAGACTTTGTCCAAAACCAGTAGTGGCTTCCCTTTTTCTACTCAAACATATTACATTCCTCGAATCACATCACAGGAATTTAAGAACATCATACGTCGATTTTTCTGCTATTATCCCGTGTCTTTTAAGAGCCATAACAGCTAGGTTCATATTCTCGTGAGCAATACAGAGGCACGTCTCTCGGGCGTTGACGTTTGGAATTACTGTCCAAAATGGTCGCAAGGTGCAAAAAAAGCTATAACTAATTTTATACTCGGGATGCTGTTTGAGGAACTTTTGATGTAACTGATGTAAGTTGAAATTTAGGTATCGCTTTTTTTTCTAATTTTATGCCGTGTTACATATTCTTTCTTTCCGGGGCAAAGTCTACTATTTTCATCATCTTCGAAAAACTTTTCTATTTATGTTTTCATTTTAGTTTTTGATGTTTCAATAAATCGTTTTTGAGAGTCGATTTTTTCTTTTTTATTTTGACTATTTTGGGTTATATACATTTCAACTGAACCTGTTTTGACCATCTCCTTGACCTTGAGTCCTGCGGTCATTGCTATCTTCCTGTTTGGGACTTTGGCTTTCTTGCCATTCATCTTCATTTTTATCTTCAACTGGTGTAGGGGCTTTTTGCTCTTCAACCTGCACTGGTTCTTGTTCAACCACAACTGGTTGTATAATTGGTTGTGGGATGGGTTGCAATTGTGGTTGAGGTACCGTCTGCGGATGTGGAGGTGGTTGTTGGGGTGGGATAGGAGCAGGAATAGGAACGCCCGGATACGCAACGTGTTCAGGATGGGGAGGAAAGTGTGGCTGAGGGGGCATTGGTATAGGCGTGGGCTCTGGTACTCGTGCTCCAGGAATTTGCACAAAGTGTTGATTTGTGTATGTCTGTGTAGGAATCGGGGCAGATGGCGACTGCTGGTTCATGAGTGGCGGAGGCTGTGGGGTACCAACAGGGCTGTCAATTTCAGATTCCTGAAGGAAAAAGAAGTTTTGAGAGCCAATTACTTCTGAAATAGGTCTCTGTTGTGGATACTATTGGGAGAAGTATGCATGTTCAACTTCTTGTAAAGTTATTGGGGGAAGAGGTCGGAGTGGATAGCCTGGTGCAGAAACAACAGCTGGAGCAGGAGGTACACGGAGGACAGTGGGTGGTGGGTAGGAAGGGACAGCATTGGCTTCCTCTACTTCCAAAGCTGATATCTGCTGCTCTTCTTCCACAATTATGTGAGTTTCCTCAGTTTCTGCAACTTTCTCAATAGTTTTGTCAAAATATCCACATTCATGTACAGCATTCACTATTTCTTTGATATGAGCATATGTTGTGCCCAAAATCTCCTTTTGTTTTCCGTCAATGATAGCATATAAATGTTCAGCAGCTTTGACTGTTTGCATATGAAATCCAGGTTGTCCTTCCTCATTTACTACATGCTTTGGTGTAACTTCAGAGTACCTGAAAATAACCATAAATAAACAAATAAAACTGCCACTCTCAAAGTAAGGTCTACATAAAGCATGTTTAATTTTGACTTTGGATCAAAATTAACTACAGTAGCCGCTCGATAATCCGGCGATCGCCAATCCGGCACGCTCAGTAGTCCGGCACTTTGGGACTCAGGTAGCCCGCTCTATAATCCGGCATTTTACACAGCAAAACGCCGGACTACTGGGCGGTTGGGTTGAATTGTTCGAGTAGTTTCTCACTACTCATTGTGGCGTTCGTAAATTGAGCCTCTCAAGATTCACCCTGAACTAAGATGCTGCATTTTATGTGACCTAAAATATGGGTGTTAACTTAGAACCAAGGTGACAAAACCAGTGAGAATAATGATTTATTTTTAATTTAGAGGCCTAATTTGTGTTAATTATTGCTCTGTTTATTTTCCTTACTTAACAGCATGGCATTTAAAATTAAAATATTTCATTATTTTAAAGTGTACTAATTTATTTTTGTTTTTTGTAAGAAGTAACAAACCTGATTCTAAATCCTAATAAAGATTCACATTTCGTTATATTTTCCGGCGAAACGGGGGATTTTCTCAGTTTTGATATAATTTCATTATTTTTAATAAATTTTCTAGACTATGCTATTTATTTTAATGGAAAATTTTTATCCATAAAAAAATTAGTTAATAATTTTAGTAGGGGGTACAAAAAATTCAACCCACCCATAGGTGAATCGTAAACAACTCTGTGGTTTGTGGACGTAATGTACTCCGTGTAGAGCAGTGTGATCATATGTGGCAGGTTCCTGCCATTTTGGCAGGATTAGTCACTTGTTTTAGCATTTGGCATGATATGTTGACGTTTTATTAAACCTGGCAGTATTTAGCAGTATTGAGGCATTAAGAATAGATTGATGAGCCGTGGTAGCTCAGTGGTTAACGCTCGCTGTAAATATAACAGAACGCGAGTAACCCGGGTTCGATCCCCGCCGGCACCAATGAAATTGTTAATTGCAATTTTAAGTGCTGATTTACCACGTGCTCGGCGGTGAAGGAAAACATCGTGAGGAAACCTGCATGTCTGAGGAATAAGAAAAAAAATATTTCGAAGACATGTGAAGTTCGTCAACACGCATTTGGGCAGCGCGGCGGACACTTCCTTGCCCTAAACCCTCTCAGAAATGAGGGGAGGCCTGAGCCCAGCAGTGGGACGTATATAGGCTGTAACTTTACTTTACTTTACTTCATAATGGCAACTAAAATGCCTAAAATATCAGAATAATTTGCCGCCATGTCAGGAATTTTCCTGTACTTCTCGATCGATTGATTGATGACTGATTAGAATATTAACCATAAACTCGTGTTTATAATTACTTATTTTAAGATTATCAACTATACATACAAACCTTTAAAGTTGTTATTGAATGTTTGTATCACATTCAATAACAACTTTAAAGGTTTGTATGTAAAGTTGATAATCTTAAAATAAGTAATTATAAACACGAGTTTATGGTTAATATTCTAATCAGTCATAGAAGAGCACTTAAAATATGTATGTATTGCAAATTTCGCAAAGGGTACTGCTATGATTACCAATCTTCAACGCTGCATGCGAAAGAATATTCTCTGAATAAATTTAATTAAGACAAAAACAGGAGAAAGACAAACAGCGTCTTTCTTGCACGTTGAACAAGTCATTGGTGAGCATTAGAGGTGGGCGTTGAATCAATAAACTGTTTCTTTTAACAGCTTTTCATTCGTCAATGTGTTAACAGTTAATCATTAATGAAAAAATAGGTTGATAGTATTAGCCGTCAATTTACGTCAACGCCCTCAACGCATTTGGAAATATTAGTAGTTACGCCGGAGTAGACATGGCGTTAATGGTTAAATTTATTTATTTGTTAAAAGTTAACTGTTAATTTTTTAAGAGATTAAATTAACAGTTAAATATATTACTTACTGTTGTAGTAAATTTATACTTTTAACCGGTTGTGTTAATTTTATTGCTTCTTCACTTTAATAGCTACAGGACTCTTTAGTATTAAAATATTATTAAGCTAGGCTTTTTAAAGGTTTATTAATTCAATATTAACATTATATTATGTTATGATTTACAATAAATTGTTTATTACTTACAGTGATTATTATGTATTTAGTATTTACATTTAATATAAATGTTTTATATTTTTTTCCTTTAATATTTTTTTTATTTTATTCCTTTATTATGTAGACATGTACGTAATAATTCTATGTAGACATGATTATTAGTTATATTTTATTAATGTTCAGAAATATTATTTGTGCTACTTTAGCTGTGATTAGCTTGTCATTCCATCATTTATTATGTACTTAGCTTTCGATAAAACACGTTCACAGGAAACTAAAGTGACCGTAATATGATATCAATTTTTAAAAATTTGATACAAAACTGGGTATATACTATATTTATGCGTCCGCCATCACGTCAATAGTCAAAACTTTCGTGAATTTAGAGTATTTAATAAACACAGACTTTATAAAAAAATCCAACTTCTTTAAGCATAACTGTGTAAGTATAAGTGTATAAGTGGCTGCCATGAAAGTAAAAAGTACTTTGCATAACTTAGATAAGCGGCTGCAGTTATGACGTCACTGAAGTCAAGTGGTCTCCACTATACCAATCTAAATGAGAGACCTTATAATATTATTAGCTTACAAAAACAGATGTTTCATGTAATTATTGGTATATTTTTCAGGCATTATGTGCACTGTCGTTCCTTGCTAGTGGTAGTTACCAAAGAATATGCGGCAAAAATATCAACACTTATGTGTCGCAGCCTTCAATGTCCCGCTGTGTTCATGAGGTTGAGCTTGTGGAAGCCCGTCCTTCCCCGGTCGAGCCGGCCCCCATTCGTGCATATTTTTAAAGGTTCTGCTGAACATAGGCCCGCAACACACTCCCATGCTTTTTTTTTAAATGGGAATGACAAGATACTCCCTCTAAAATGGAAGAGGCTCTTAATGTGTTCCTTAATATTATCCTCGTGAACCTATATACTCGTGGCCAACGAAATATCCAAAAATGGTGCTGCAACACTAGCCCAAACTTCTAATCAAAGTGAGTCGACAAGAACTAGGAACAAATGCAGTCCGCGGGATATTTTTGATCATATAATAGGGGCACCTTCTATCACAGGCACTCCATTATCAAAAGCCATAAAAGAAGTGGACACCTATTTGGCTGATGACTTATTACCAAGGACAAATACTTCTGGTGACTGGAACAATTCTTTGGAATGGTGGAGAACTCACAATTTTATTTATCTAAACTTGGCCAAAATTTACATAGAAAAATGTAACATAGTCGCAACATCAGTGTCGTGCGAAAGAATGTTCTCCAAATCGGGGCTGATTGTCAATCAAAGGAGAACTAGACTAACAACTAGGAAAATAGAGATACTGCTATTTTTAAATGTTAACTTAGATGAAGACCGTTTTGCAGGCTACTAAATTTAATATGTAGGTAATTGTAAATAGAACAAAGGAAAAAAAAACAAAAAATATTATGATTAATGTAAATACAATCAGATCAGATGATCTTTTAAGTACGCCTGGGTACTATTTTTACACAGCTAGTCCTAAGCCTGGAAAAAGTAAGAAGGAAAGGTCATTCCAGTTGAATAAAAATAAAAGTAATCTAAATTCTTATTAAATCAATAATCATCAACTTAAACTTAATTTGTCACAAAATTGTTAATTGTTATTGATCGAAAGCGTTGAAATATTAATTGAATAGAACTGCTAACAAATGAAGTTTTACAACCTGTTAATTATTTAACAGCTTTTTAAACCTGTTGACCATTAATGATTAACAGTTAAATTACATTAAATTATAAATCCGTCAATGACCCATACCTAGTGAGCATGGCTATTGCACTGCATTGAAACCAACGAAAGATACATTAAATCGAAGAATAAATCCATGTATAAAGATGATCAAAAAGAATAATATGATGCTATCTGTTGTCAAAATGTTAAATTTAATAAAAATATGGCATTTATATGCGTATTTTTACTTTCCTTAGTTTAATACAATTATAAATAAAGTTGGCAGTATTATAGCATTTTTCAACAAAGTAAGGCAGGATCTGTATTTTAAAGATGGTCACACTGATGTTGAGGTACGCGTTTTGTGGTAATGGTGGTTAATATAGCGCATAGCGCCATATTATTGCGTGCTATCTCTTCATAATGCATAGCGCGTGCTATGTAAGTAGTCGCCATGGCGCTATGGCGCTTTGGCGCTATTCATATCAAGCGGCAATTAGTTCTAGCAGCAGTGCTGTTGGGAGTAGACGTGTGACGAAAATTTAATTTAGCAGCACGCTATTTATCGTGCGGGAACTAATTTAGTTTTATGCGTTATTTAGTTAGTGTATACTGTATATTTATAAGTGATCAAAGGACACAGTTGTATGCTACAAAAGAAGCCTAAGTAATGTTTTTAAATGTAAATAAAATATGGATACAAAAGTGTATATAATAGTGTTTCTAAATAGTTGATTTTTGTATATACAATCAATAAACTTTTAAATACACCTTTGATTTATAATTTATATCAAGGTTAAAATAATGTTTACATCAATTATAATAAAAAATGATTAATTTTATTTTGTTTTAAAAAGTACAGTCCTTAAAAATATTTTTAGGATTATAAAAAGTCTTAAGCCTGAAAAGTATGACTCTTTCATACTTTTATATTTTATACGTTCTTTAATTTTTCTTAATCACTTTATTTTAATTTAATCTAAACTTCGACTTTTTATGAAACAATGTTCTTATATGGCATGCGGTCTATCCAATGAACGACATGTAATGTAGCGTGCTCCGAGATATAGCGTGCTGCTAAACTTCCTATATATAAAAAAGTACTCTATGTGCTAAACTTAACGCGCTTGCCGGCCTCCTACACACTTTTTTATAAATAGCGCGCTATAACATAGCGTATTTAATAGTGCGCTAGAAATTTCTAGTTTATAGTCTGTAGCATGCTATTGATTTATAGTCTTTTTGAACAACTTTAGTTTGTGGTATGGTATATGTCTCTATGGGTACATGTACATGGTGACCATTTCCAAACCAGAAGAAGTTGTTGCCTGTGAAGGATGCCTTCAGCTGCGAATGCAAAGTCTGAAAAACCGGCCTCTTCGGAGGCTACGGATAATTCACCTATACGGCAAATTATCACAATTATAGAACACAAAGTTCGTAATTTGGAAAAAAGAAAGGTAAGTCCAAAGAAATATTTAGAACATCAACATTGTGACGGTGTACCTTTTGTTTTAGGTAATTTATTATCTTTTTATTCCCTTTAGTTTTCTTATATTAGATATTATTAAATGTGAAATTCCCATTGAAAAAGTTACTCTTGAGCTTTTCCGGCGTTTTATGTTGTATGTAAATAAAAGTTTCGGTGACGCCATTTTTATACATGTGCTCAAGTCTGGTACCTCTAACTCTTATTGTGATATTATCGTTGTCAACTGTTTGCTAGGTTTAGCTACCGTTAGCATCTTTTAAGAACTTCGCAATGCGTGCATATTATGAAGATATTTGTGGACAAAATACAAATCAGACTAGTCTGTATCATAGCGCTCAAAACTTTATATTCTCACATTTACATGATATGCGTTGTGTTTTAATAATTTAGACTCCATGATCAGTTGAATGTCTTTCAACTGTTGCACGCTAATTCAATTTGTCTATACATAGAAGAAATCCTATTTATTTATGATCCTGTTTAATTATATAAACAATTAAAAATATTGAAATACCGGCATAAACAACATTAGATAAATTTACGAATATTCTGGTAAATATATATATATATATATATATATATATATATATATATATATATATATATATATATATGACTTATGTTCTTTTACATATTTCTATTCCCATAATGATTAAGGCTTTTGTTTTTAAATAACCTTAACAATTTTGCTTTTAGAGCAAGTTGACATCATACCGTGACCTGCAAAAAGCTGGTAAAGAATTAAAAACTGATCAAAAAATAGCTGTTGCTAAGTATGATGAAGTTGCTCAGACATTGGAATTTGCTAGAGATCTCTCAAAACAAATTACTGCTATTGCAGCATCGGCTGAGCGTGAGGCTAAAAAGCAAGCTAAAAAGGTAAGTTAGTATTTTATGAAATAATATACCTATTAACATGTAGTTTAATTTTCTATCATTACCAAAACACCTTTAAAGTTGTTAAATAATTAAATTAGTGCCAGACTTATTAAAGCTTAAAATTAAGTATAAGGAATATACACATTCTTGTAATCACTACTGAGCTGAGATTCTGTTAGATTTTTGACTTACCACATCTAACTATAGTCCACCTTTTTTATAGAATAGGATGATAAACAAGCACACAGTCCATGTGTTGGTAAGTGGATGCTGTGGCCCGTAGACATCTACATTTATCCTTTATTGAGAACCAAAATGCAGGTGCATTGTCACACGTGAGGACTAAGATGGAAAGAGTCATTTCTAGTAATAAGTCTCTGGTTCTCTACACTAACTGTACGAAACACAGTAGTATTGGGGTAGGACCACACTCCCACAGTAATTTTTGCTATAACCATAATATAGTCGCAGCATGGCTCTACCACCTAAGTGTAGTCCATCCTAATATTGTTCATCTGCAGGGCAATGAAACTGTACATAAGGGCTGATGTTGTGTTTTCTTTCATGTCCTTTATATATTCTGGGAATATTTTTAACTTCTCAAACGTGCAGCTTTCATTAGTGCCAGCATTATTAGCATGCCCTGTCTTGATCCACTTATAACCATTGATTTTAACGTCTGAGACCGTTATAATATATTTTTTGCCAATGTACTTGATCTTTCTTAAATTTGGTAATGTACAACTTACAGGATGCATGGGTGCGCTATGCTGCTGAAACCAACAAAATTCGTGAAGCTCTCTTAATTTTGGATTGCCTTATGCAAATGGGCAACTCTGAGGCAAGGGAAGACTTCTTGAATGGGGCAAATGGAGCAACTAAACTTACTGAGGAAGACTTGAAAATTTTGGATGACTTGTTAGTATTGTAATTTAATTTTTACCTATTTTATATTTTAATATTTCTTATTGCACTAAAAGTGCCATAAATTAATCTATCAACTTTAAGTTATTATATTCGTGAAATTTGTAGAATGCCAGGTGTGATTGAGAAAGTTGTAACAGAGAGTCCAGGGGTGCAAGGTCTCCTTTTAATCATTGCTTATTCTATCAACATTAATTTTTAGGACTATGGTTTGAAGATAACGAGTATGCCTAGTTATAGGCATACTGGTTAACTTAAAAAACTTAAACTGGGTTAGTAGGAATACACAGTTTTGGTAGAAATGAACCTATAAGTTGTTGTTTGTCAAGGCAAGAGAACTATCTCTCACTTTCCAATGAAAGTTCAAATTACTGTTGACAGTATTGAAGTAGCTGATGATATAAACTGTGTTGTATTTTTATCACACAAGAAGCATATAATAAAATAAAAAATAACCTAACAAAATTATTTTATGCTAGGAAATTATGTGTATTCTGCATATTCAGCAGCTTTTGTGAATGTTCATATTTGGTTGAATTGTCGGCTAAATCACTGAACATTGGTTAAAGTGGTACTCAAAGTGTCCACTGTATAGAAATGTATGAATTGAGTAATGCCATGTCTCATAATTTTACTGTTGAAAGTATATTTTATTTATGGGTTAAATCTACTTGTATAGCGTTATGTTTTTGAGGCACTGTAGATTTATTTCCAATTACAACAAATTGAAAGCTTGATAAAATGTTTTTGGAATCAAAGAAACATTACATTACATTAGTACAGGGTGTCCCGTGGCAGATTTAGGATTCGAAATTCGAATATTTTTGCAACGGTTGCGCGGGGGACCGGGAAGGGGTGACAGTTTGGCGCGGCATTTGTGCGGATTGGTCAGTCACGATGTCGCAGTGGACTGGCGCGCACCGCGCTTTCGCAGTTGAAGCGTATTTTGAAGCTAACAAATCGTGCACTGTTGCTCGCCGGAGATTTTGTTCTCACTACAATATTCGTCGCTTAAGTGAAGCACCGAGTGAAAGTTTGATTTTGACGTGGGTCCAGAAGTTCCGTGCAATAGGTTCAACAGTTAACCGAGCCACGTCCAGGTCCCAGCCGAACGTCGAGGACTGCACAAAACATTGAACGCGTTGCAAACAGCGTGCAAGAAAATCCCCGCCAGTCCATGCGCAAGAAAGCGTCAAGTTTGCGGCTTCCAAAAACCATGGTGCACCGTATTTTAAACTTGGACATTAAATTCCACCCCTTCAAGATCCAATTGGTACAGGCACTTAAACCAAATGACTACAGAGAACGCAAAGAGTTCTGTGATAACATGTTGAGCCGATTCCGTACTGTTAACACAATTTGGTTCAGTGATGAAGCTCATTTTCACTTGAATGGTTTTGTCAATAAACAAAACTGCCGCTATTGGGCGCCAAGAGGACAAAACCCGCGTTTAAAACACCAACAAGCATTGCATAGCCCAAAAGTAACTGTTTGGGAAGCTTTCTGTCAATGGAATAATTGGACCGTTTTTCTTTGAGAATTCTCGTGGAGTAACCGTAACTGTTGATGGTGATGTATACCGCCGCATGCTTAGCGAATATTTTATTCCGAAACTAAGAGAACATCCATCGAACAGCTCTCACACGTGGTTTCAATAAGATGGCGCCACGCCGCACACAGCAAGAACCACCATGAGTCTCCTTCGCGAAGAATTCCCCGGAAAATTGATTAGACGATTTGGGGGACATCGTATGGCCACCCAGATCGCCAGATCTCACCCCATTAGATTTTTTTCTATGGGGTTACTTAAAGGGAAAAGTGTACGACAGCAACCCGACGGATCTATCAGATTTAAAAGAAAATATAGTGCGAGAAGTGAATGCTATTCCTCGGTCAGTATTGTAGCGCGTCGCTCAGAATACTCTCGAAAGATTCCGCGAGTGTGTACGTCGCAATGGAAAACATTTGGACGGAGTGATATTCAAAACATAAAATCCGCATGTCTCGTCTTTCTTTTTATGACAAATATATGTAAATTCTAAAAGAATAAATTTCTTTAATTAAATCAAGAAATCCTAAATCTGCCACAGGACACCCAGTATATTTTACTTCATTTTGGTCATCAGTTTCTCTAAAATGTGTCCAAATAGTAGATCTTCTGCCACTCATTTTTATCATATAATTTTCAATTTTCACTAAGAATAACACAACAAAATACTTTTTTCTCACAAAAATTCTCAAAACATAAGCATATGCAGGCAATTTGCTCCGTACTAGATGATACAATAACATCTCGGTGTAGTGAGGGGTAGGGTCCTGCACTAATCCCGCGCGCTTTACGGTAACAAGTTTCGGCATAAATTGGTTAGGTACCAAGGTGATCCTACCAAGTAAAGTTCGGCCGAATTGGTTCGGAAAAAGTTACCGAAATTTCGGCGAAATATTCATATTCGGTGAAATCCATGTTTGGCCCATCTCTATTATTTTTATGTTTTTGTGCATTTTATTCTTACATATTCTTTTTATATTAATGTTAAGTGTTATTATAATCAGTGAACATGTCATAAGATCTTATTTTATTTATCCACAGTAAATGTAGGATGTAGCCCCCACGTTTCCTCTTAAATATCCTAGAAATACCTACTTAATTAACAGATTTCTTGCTAAAACTAGTATACATACACCAATTCAACAATAGGGACCAATCGACATAGACATATTTGAAAGTATTATTGGGATATTGGAGTGATATTGGGAATCCTAAACTGGGCATATACAGTGTGATGCTATGTTAAATATAATAAATGAAAACCTGGTCATTACTAGTTCAAAAAATATTTTGAAATACAGTAGGCGCTCGATAATCCGGCACCCGATTTTTTCCCTTTATGCTGGATTGTCGGAACTGCCGGATTATCGAATTTGTATAGGAAGTAAAATAGATCCACAGTAAAATACTATTTTAATATGGTTAGGTGAATTTATTATAAAAATAAAATTACGTACTTAACATAAACACATTACATATGTATTTGTGTTTATGTTAAGTACAAACTGCCAAGCGAGAGAAGAGAGAAACTACTCGAACAATTCAACCCAACCGCTCAGTAGTCCGGCGTTCGTCCGTGTAAAATGCTGGATTATAGAGCGGGCTACCTGGGTCCCAAAGTGCCGGACTACTGAGCGTGCCGGATTGGCGAGCGCCGGATTATTGAGCGCCTATTGTAGTTAATTTTGATCCAAAGTCAAAATTAAACATGCTTTATGTAGACCTTACTTTGAGAGTGGCAGTTTTATTTGTTTATTTATGGTTATTTTCAGGTACTCTGAAGTTACACCAAAGCATGTAGTAAATGAGGAAGGACAACCTGGATTTCATATGCAAACAGTCAAAGCTGCTGAACATTTATATGCTATCATTGACGGAAAACAAAAGGAGATTTTGGGCACAACATATGCTCATATCAAAGAAATAGTGAATGCTGTACATGAATGTGGATATTTTGACAAAACTATTGAGACAGTTGCAGAAACTGAGGAAACTCACATAATTGTGGAAGAAGAGCAGCAGATAGCAGCTTTGGAAGTAGAGGAAGCCAATGCTGTCCCTTCCTACCCACCACCCACTGTCCTCCCTGTACCTCCTGCTCCAGCTGTTGTTCCTGCACCAGGCTATCCACTCCGACCTCTTCCCCCAATAACTTTACAAGAAGTTGAACATGCATACTTCTCCCAACAGTATCCACAACAGAGACCTATTTCAGAAGTAATTGGCTCTCAAAACTTCTTTTTCCTTCAGGAATCTGAAATTGACAGCCCTGTTGGTACCCCACAACCTCCGCCACTCATGAACCAGCAGTCGCCATCTGCCCCGATTCCTACACAGACATACACAAATCAACACTTTGTGCAAATTCCTGGAGCACGAGTACCAGAGCCCACGCCTATACCAATGCCCCCCTCAGCCACACTTTCCTCCCCATCCTGAACACGTTGCGTATCCGGGCGTTCCTATTCCTGCTCCTATCCCACCCCAACAACCACCTCCACATCCGCAGACGGTACCTCAACCACAATTGCAACCCATCCCACAACCAATTATACAACCAGTTGTGGTTGAACAAGAACCAGTGCAGGTTGAAGAGCAAAAAGCCCCTACACCAGTTGAAGATAAAAATGAAGATGAATGGCAAGAAAGCCAAAGTCCCAAACAGGAAGATAGCAATGACCGCAGGACTCAAGGTCAAGGAGATGGTCAAAACAGGTTCAGGCGTTACGGTCGTGGAGGCAGAGGTGCATCCAATGGCTATCGTGGACGTGGAAACTTTCAAAACAGACAAAATGATGGATATCACCCTCGTGGGGAATATCAGAACAGAATAAACAAAGATGGCTATCAGAATAGACAGTATGATGGCTACCAGAACAGACACAAAGATGGATACCAGAACAGGGGAGGTAATGATGGTTACTATGGCAATGGAGACACTGGCGACAGCCATCAACAGAATGAAAATGGTGGTCGTGACAGGTACAATGATAGTAACCAGAGTTATCAGGGTGGATTCAAGAGCCGTGGCAGGGGAGGTCCTCGCGGAGGTACCCGTGGTGCCTCTCGAGCGCCCCGTTCGCAACAGTACAACCGAAAACAAGAACAAGTTGAATAGTTCAGGTGGAGCCCATTAATCTTACAACAAAAGCGGCATCACACCATGAATTTTCAGACAGACTAAATCATTCGTGGAAGGCAAATTTCACCGGCAACAACGCGCTGTGGCAACATCAAAGAGATTATGGTAATACAAAAAATAAAATATAAAAACATTAAAAAAAAAGTAAAATATTAAAACTTAAAACTAAATAAAAAATAATTTACTTGAATTTAGGTGTACGATATATGCAGTTATTATAAGTTACGTTAAATCTTAGTATTTGTATAGGTTACGAAGTCACGCAAGTGAAATCACTTTGAATTAAGTGAAAAAAGTGACGCGGTTTTTGGAGCGGGCTTCGCGGCTGCCGCATGTCACTTAATATCTCGTGCGTGCCTCGTCCTCGTGATAATTTGAAAAGTACAGGAGATGCACATTATTTATGAATGAAACGCGTCAATCGGGACCTTTCCAAATCTCATTAAACTTTGTACTTTTAATATACTTGCTTTAAAATTGTAATTATTATGTTAAGATAATTTCTACATATGTTTGTTTTTCTTTAACCATAATTATTTTAAATATAAAAACAGATGTTTGATCTTATGTACTATATTGTATTGTGTGCATGTCACTATTAATGAGCATAATATTCCAAACGTGATCCATGCTGAGTATTGGTTGATGCTATAATTTTTGCTACTCATTTCAATCTTGTTTATTATTCTATTAAACTGTGAATAAATTAAAATAATTTCTTTGTGAAACATTATTAAAACAAAGCACATACGTAGTGTATCATTGGAAAATTAAGTTTGATCCATGCTCTCCTCTCTATTCCTTTACATTGTTCTCAATAGAGGCTGTGTGCAAGCAAATTAAAGTATTCTATGAATAAACATTGATTTATTTTTTATTTAACCCTTGTGTCAAGTGACATTGTAAATTGTACTAATAAATATCATAATAATTCTGACTCTTATAGCATTTAAATAAAGAGAATCTAACAATTTTATAAAAAATATAAAACTAAATTTTGTGGTTGAATGAATATTTATTCTCTTTCAGTCTAACGAGATCTTTAAAAAGGATAACGTGTATCTACTATAGTATGTGCCAAATCGATTGAGAAAAACGGACAATGATCTTTCGGTCGTTTAACCAGGGGTTATAAATCAATAATTTTCTTTCCTTCCTTCTTTATTTATAATGATTTTTTAAATTATTTTTTTGAAATGATTGATATAATATATCTTTATCAATTATTAAAAAGTTATGTAAAAGATCGCCGTAGAAGAAAGATCATCTATTGTAAAAAGTACTTTATTCATTTAACAACAAAAAGCATTAATTTAATAAAGATTCGAGTGTGATAACGACACTGAATAAGTACGTATTTATTAAAAAGATAAAACTTTATTTTCAATATTATATAAGAACTTTATTTTTATTCGGCGCATGCAGACCGGCCCAAAAAATTAACGCATCTCTAGCTGCTATTGTCACGTTTCTTTTAGAACGAACTGACGTAACGCGCGTTTTGTTTTGTTTTTAAAGGGATGAATTTGCAAAAGCTCAATATGGTGATTATATTGCTTCAAATATTTTTTTTAATATGAAACTGTTATTAAATGAATTGCTGCGTTATTTAACATAAATTGAAATATAAAATATAACACATTTTTCGCGATGTACCGTAAGATTTTTCGATGTTTATAGGAACCACAGACAAAATATTATTCAAGAAACAAAAAATAAAACATGTAAAACATTTAAATATTGTTATCACATCTAAATTGAGATTTTGTAAGTTACGCCTTTTGACACGGCTCTTATCTGAGGTCATTGTCCGTTTTTCTCAATCGATTTGGCACAGACTGTAATACACATACGCCTTAGTCTAACTCAAGGAACATACTACTCTCTGACGAGAGGTCTAACCTTAATATGAAGCGCGCTCATGAAACTCCTTTATTGATGTGGTCCCGTAATGGTCGCCACACACGGTCAGTTCAACTGATCAGTTCGAACTAAAACTTGATAATTTTTAAAACATCGGATTTTCGATATATCGATAAATAAACTTGTATGTAAAACTCCGATGTATCGAAAATCCACTATTTTAAAAAATATCAATAGTTTTAGTTTGAACTGACCGTGTGTGGTGACCATTAGAGGTCACTGCATCAAATAGAAATGGATCGGCTAAGTGCCTGTGCTTGCAGACTGCGAGGCGTGTCAAAGGATTAGTTTAGTTTACGACGGGCTGTTTTCCGCAACTCTACGTCTAAGCGCGTATTTTGCGTGTGGGCAGGAATAATATGCTTATTCGAGCCATGATATCTCCCCCGAAGAAGCTCAGCAGTCCCTTGATGTTGCAAGCAACTTCGGGGAGCGATCCCGGCGTGCCGAGATGTTTAGCCCTGTATGAAGCGACTTCTGGACATTTCAGCAACACGTGAGCCGCCGTTTCTTCCTCTCCCATGCATGCCCTGCACGCGGGGCTGTCAGTAACACCTATGGTGAACAAATGTTTGTTAAAAGAGCCATGTCCTGTGATAGCACTTGTTACTATCCTGATCTGTGGCTTGTTCAGTCTCATTAGAACCTTGGTTAGACGACTGTTTATTTCAGGTAGGGCCTCCCTAGCTTGTCTACAGTCTACTAAATTTTTCCAAAGCTGAGCGTGTAAATTATTGAAGTATCTACGTACCAGTGAACGAACGTAGCCAAAGGGGATTGGTATTATTGGTTCCGGCCCTATAGTTGATAGGGCCGATCCCCTTCTGGCCAGTTCATCTGCTGCATCGTTGCCTTTAGATCCACTGTGTCCCTTGATCCATTGCAGAGTCACATTGTTGTGCTTACATACCTCATTCAATCGTTGATGGCACTCGTATATCAGTCCCGAGTTCGTCACATTGCAACTCAGAGCTTGTAGTACCGCCATACTGTCGGTCAGTATTCTGATGGAGGTCTTTCACCTTCCTAGCATCTATTGCTATGGCCGCTTGGATGATACCCATGCATTCAGCCTGGAAGACTGTGTTGTGGGTACCCAGCGGTGTGCATATGTGGATATTAAGGTCTTCAGAGAAAGCCCCAGATCCCACACCTTCATTTGTCTTAGAGCCACTGTGAAAACTTTGAGCTCTCTTGGACCCAATCCTTCCAGGTGGTCAGTTTTCTTCAATTGTATCCTGTACTTCTTATCAAATACAAATTGTTTTGGGATCCTATCATACTTGGCTTGTAAGATAGGAATTTTTGAGTAAATTCTATCGATTATATCTGTATGGGGACTCTACTCTTACTTAAAAGATTTAGGGTCTTGAGTCTAATGGCAGCTAAAATTGCTTCTTGTTGTATATATAGATGAAGCGGTGTTAGCTCCAGCATAGCCTCCAAAGCTGCTGTTGGTGTTGTTCTTATGCAGCCCGTGGCAGCCATACAAGTTAATCTCTGGTAACGCTGTAGGTATAGTGTTGGTTTTGGTCCACCATACCAGAGAGCCGTATGTGATCATGGGCCGAATTACAGTTTTGTACAGCCACAGTATAATTTTTGGCGTTAAGGTGGCTCAAGTCGCGGGCTCGAACTCATTGGTGGGCGCGGCCAAAAAGCACGTTGTCTCACCTGGCATCGTGCCCGACAGAGATAGTACCAGTGTAGAGCAGTTAGAACGCACGTCTTGTTCGTACGGCGTTCCGAACCGTTAGAACAAAAACGAAGTTACACGAACACGATGCATACATACATACCACCCTATTTTGTGCCGCTCGACGCTTGCTAAGAAATCAGCAGTACCTACCTACAAACTCGTACTAAAAATTATTTAAATTTAAAATTATTAGGCACTGCGCTACGTTATCGCTTTATACTATACCTCTATGGCTCTATAGATACCTAATATAGATTGCTTATTTTATTATGTTTTGTTTTCCCCGGGTGGTCATGCAGCGATCACTCAAGAGTTCACGACGCCGAAGCATGAACTGGAACAGTCATCACAATTTATATCCGTACTAGCTGTTGCCAGCGGCTTCAAACGCGTGAACTCGAAAATTATCCCACAGGAACGAAATACCTGAATAAACGGTATCAAAAATGTGTTATTCCAGACCAGGTATAACCTATCTCTGAGCTAAATATCATCCAGATCCCTTCAGCTGTTCTGGCGTGATTGAGTAACATACATCTATCCATCCAAACTTTCGCATTTATAATATTTAGATAATAATTGTAATTAGTTCTGCCTACTTATAAATTGTTTTCAAAAATACTTACCTGTCTTCTTACTTTGTTTTATATACACACAATATCACTAATGATGTAAACACATGTTTTTATCAAGACAAGTGACCCGTCAAGACTGTTTCCTTAGTACCGACGTACTTAGGCAGGTAGTAGTAGGTAGGCAAAAACGATTACTACTGAAAAACTAAATAGGTACCTACCTAACATTCAAATAAAAATATTCGCAAAAAGCTCAACCAATTCAGAATTTAATTTTGTTAAAAGAAAATTGGTCAAATAAAAAATAAAGGATGAAAATAAAGCATATGGGAATATAAAAATAAATCGTATTTATTTGAATAAAACTATTATTTACAGATTTTATCGCGTTTAATTACTTTAATTTATTTTTATTATTATCCCGACGTTTCGGGTGCTTTACAGCGCCCATGGTCCCCCCCCGTGAATAATAGTTTTATTCAATATGTAGTGTTCGCGTAAATTTAAGAAATCGTATTTATTTGTTATTTCGAGTTTTACAAGAAAAGCATAATATTTACTGGAGAGAATTATTTTATTATTATAATAGTACATGATATTCCCTTTAAAATGACACCAATATGAATAATATCTTAAATCTATATCTACAAATAAATAAGTGTCTGTTTGTAATGTTAAAATAACAGCTTTTTATTAAATGCATATGGAAGTACCAGTAACAAAAACACATTTTTTAAAATTTCAAACACCACAATCTCTAATTTTTTACTCTGCTATCTTCAGCGCTGTACACGAACGGAACGATGTCGTTGAGAGCCGTGGTAGCTCACATGGTTAGCGCTCGTTATAGGTATCACAGTACGGGAGCAACCCGGGTTCGATCCCCACTGGCACCAATGAAATTGTTGCGTGCTGATTTAGCTATCAGTTGGAAAGTCTGTTTTTCTGGGCCGTTTTGTTTTGTTACACTGACATCTCGCAAGTCACCTAGGGACCTAGGAGGTTGTCGGTTGCTTATTTTTTATTTTTCTTTAAAATTTTCGTCGGTAAAATAACATATTTATAAAAGTAAAAAAAAAGTAAA